GTGTAAGGCAATTTTATGTTTTTTTAGTTAAAATAATAAGTGTTTTTTTTATTCATGCAGCACAAATGTGGGGTGTTTTTTTTTGTGGGGGGGGGGGGGGGGGGGTGGGGGGGGGGAGGGGGGGGGGGGGGGTCGGGGGGGGGGGGGGTGGGGGGGGGGGGGGGTGGGGGGGGGGGGGGGTGGGGGGGGGGGGGGGTGGGGGGGGGGGGGGGTGGGGGGGGGGGGGGGTGGGGGGGGGGGGGGGTGGGGGGGGGGGGGGGTGGGGGGGGGGGGGGGTGGGGGGGGGGGGGGGTGGGGGGGGGGGGGGGTGGGGGGGGGGGGGGGTGGGGGGGGGGGGGGGTGGGGGGGGGGGGGGGTGGGGGGGGGGGGGGGTGGGGGGGGGGGGGGGTGGGGGGGGGGGGGGGTGGGGGGGGGGGGGGGTGGGGGGGGGGGGGGGTGGGGGGGGGGGGGGGTGGGGGGGGGGGGGGGTGGGGGGGGGGGGGGGTGGGGGGGGGGGGGGGTGGGGGGGGGGGGGGGTGGGGGGGGGGGGGGGTGGGGGGGGGGGGGGGTGGGGGGGGGGGGGGGTGGGGGGGGGGGGGGGTGGCCATACCTAGTGATTTATTTACCCAATGTGGGTCTTTGAGATCAATTTCGTTAGCTAGGAACAAGTTTTCAGGCCCCATTCCTGAGAGTTTAGGCTCGTGTTCGTCTCTAGCTTTTTCGGTCTCGACTTGTCCCGGAAATCAGTTTTCTGGGCAGTTGCCATTAGGACTTTGGTCATTGTCTGGAGTAAGGTCAATTGATTTATCTGACAATATCCTGGAGGGTGAAATTCCTAAGGGGATGGAAGGTTTGAATAATTTGAGGGGGATAAGTTTGAGGAATAACAAGTTTGTAGGTGAAGTTCCTGATGGAATTGGGAATTGTTTGTTGTTGAGGTCAATTGATTTGAGTCGAAATTCATTTTCTGGAGGGCTTCCAAGCTCAATGCAGAAGCTTTCCTTGTGTAATAATTTGAGTTTAGGTAAAAATGTATTTACAGGGGAAGTGCCACAATGGATTGGAGAAATGAGAAGCCTTGAGAGCCTCGATTTTTCTGAGAACAACTTTACGGGTCAAGTTCCGGATTCTTTTTCGAAGCTTCAGTCTTTGAAAGTTCTGAATGTATCCAAGAATGCTCTATCTGAAGCTTGCCTGAGTCCATGAGCAGTTGCGTAAATCTTGTAGCTTTTGATGTTAGTCATAATACATTGACTGGTAGTCTTCCTTCTTGGATGTTCAAACTTGGTTTAGAGCGAGCTTTGTTTGCAGATAACAGACTAAGTGGGAGTTTTGATACTTGTTTTGCTTCATCGATGGAGAATTCTCGGAAGAAGCTCGTGGTTTTGGATGTTTCCGGAAATAACTGTCTGGTGAAATTCCTTCTGCTGTTGGAGACTTGGGAAGTTTGGAGTTTTTGAATATGGCGAAGAACGAATTCTTTGGTAGCATTCCTGCAAGTATTGGGCAATTGAAGACCTTAATTGTTCTGGATTTGAGTGAGAATCAGTTAAATGGAAGCATACCTTTGGAGATTGGTGGACTCCCATCTCTTAATGTATTGAGCCTTGAGTATAATTCTTTGGTTTGCACCATTCCATTGTCAATTGGGAACTGCCCTTCAATGATGTCCTTGTAAGTTTTCTACTCAATTTCATGATTTATTAAGCATCTTTTAGGCTTCTGTGTATATGCTGGTGCCCTTTTTTTTGAGCAATCTTTATATGATTAATCATGTAGGTGCTAGTATCTATGATTACATAATTCTCATTACGAAATTTGCTTGATACATGAATTTATTTTGTTATGGATATTGCTTGATGCATCTCTTGATTAAGACTAATTTGTTTGGTTGAATTTGGCAGGTCTCTTGCACATAATGAAATAACCGGTTCAATTCCCGCATCCCTTGCAAAGCTTCCCTACCTCAAAAATGTCGATTTCTCTTTCAACAAACTTACAGGAGCATTACCAAAGCAGCTTGCAAACCTCGTAAATCTTCAGTCGTTTAACATTTCACACAACCAGCTACAAGGCGAGCTACCAAACGGTGGTTTCTTCAACACCATTGCTCCATCATCTGTATCCGATAATCCATCTCTTTGTGGGGCAGCTGTCAATCGAACTTGCCCCACAGTCCTTCCTAAACCACTCGTACTTAATCCCAACTCCACTGATGCAACTCAAGAAACTATCCCACAAAATTTTAACCGTGGGAAAAAAATCCTCAGCATTTCAGCACTAATTGCCATAGGTGCAGCTGCTGCAATAGTAATTGGAGTAATAGCTATCACTGTTCTTAATCTTCGTGTGCATGCTTCCACGGCAAATCCACCTATGGCTTTTACTTTTTCGGGTGGTGATGACTTTAGCCAATCAGCATCTTCAAATGGCGATTCCGGGAAGCTTGTTATGTTTTCGGGTGATCCTGGTTTTAGTACCGGGACCCACGCTCTTCTTAACAAAGATTGCGAACTTGGGCGTGGAGGTTTCGGAGCTGTGTACCGAACTATGCTTAAGACGGGCGCTCTGTCGCCATAAAAAAGCTCACGGTTTCTAGTCTCGTGAAATCCCAAGAAGAGTTCGAAAGGGAGGTTAAAAAGCTCGGGAAAGTTCGACATGCTAATCTCGTGGCACTCGATGGTTATTATTGGACACAATCTTTACAACTTCTCATATACGAGTTCATCTCTGGCGGGAATCTATACAAGCATCTCCACGAACGGTCTAGTGGAAACTACCTATCGTGGAACGAGAGATTAAACGTTATTCTTGGGGGTGCTAAAGGGTTATCTCATTTACACCAAATGAATGTTATCCACTACAATTTAAAATCGAGCAATATCTTGATTGATAGCTCTGGCGAACCAAAGGTTGCCGATTATGGTTTGGCTCGACTTCTCCCTATGCTAGATCGTTATGTATTGAGTAGTAAAATTCAAAGTGCCCTTGGCTACATGGCACCTGAATTTGCTTGCAAAACCGTGAAAATAACCAAAAAATGCGATGTTTATGGATTTGGCGTGTTGGTTCTTGAAATAATGACAGGGAATAGACCCGTGGAGTACATGGAGGATGATGTTGTGGTGCTATGTGACATGATTAGAGGAGCGTTAGAAGAAGGGAGAGTCGAGGAATGTGTTGATGGGAGATTACAAGGCAAGTTTCCAGTCGAGGAGGCAATACCGGTGATGAAGTTGGGCTTAATATGCACGTCTCAAGTGCCCTCGAATAGGCCAGATATGGCTGAAGTAGTCAACATATTGGAACTTATAAGATGCCCTTCTGAAAGCCAAGAGGAATTGGGAGATGTATTCAACTAACATATTGCTTTCTTTCTTCTTGTATTTTTCACAATCTTTTTTGGTGCATTAGTGTAATTTCTTCTCCATATTAAACATGATCATCGGATTCATTTTCACCTGGTTCCATTAAAGATCCTTTTGGATATTACTTACTGATTCTTGCCATTTTTTTTATAATGATCTTTGTGTGTGTGTGTGTGTGTGTGTGTGTGTGTAATAATCAACATGAACATGGAATGAAATGGGACAGATCATTATGCAATTTTCAAGATTCTTAGTTCCTAAAACAAGGCATATAATCTAAGTGATGAATATTAAAAGAGAGTGAAAGTAGAATCAAATGGAATGGAAATCTGCAGAGTAATGATGCTGTCGGAATTAACAAAGTTTTTTAAATGTATTTTTTGTTTGTTTATGTTTAGCCAATTTCAAGTTGCTTATTTTCTTAAAGAGATGAAGAAAAATTGTTGGTTGAAATTCACATGGCTTCTTTTTTTCTTCTTCTCAATGTCCTTTTCTAAGTTGGAAACTCATCTGTTTGTATGCATATCTTTCTGCAAATTTTGACTCTTCTGCATTTAGTCTGTAGTTTTGTTGTTTCCTTTAAGACATTATACTCACCACTGAATATTCGATGTCATATGGTGCTCAAAATGTTTCAAATCAAGTTGTATAAAAATGGAATATAATTGACAAAATTTATACTATCAATATTATTTTTTTCTCGTGAAAATTTTAGGACATGTGCAAGGTTAACCAAAATGAGTTGTTCCTTTACCTAATATAAATTTAAGCAAAAAATATTAATTGGTAGTAAGATGGTGTTGGGCCCAAGAGAACCTACTCAATTGGCATTTTCAAATGGTGGCACATGGGGACAATTATAACTTAGAATTACTATCTTACTAGGCAATAGGCATCAATATCAAGCACACTTGCTTAGCTAAAGTGCCTAATCAATCATGCCTCCCTGTTGGAATCTAATTGCTATGAATCAATAATGAGAATAACTCTAGTTTCTTTAATGTGCCCAATTTAAGTTCAAATTTGTATTTAGGAGAAATTTCTAGGTAATGTATATGAAGCTGATTCGTCTCAGAATGAATTATGTCACATTTGGAAAAAAGAAAAAAAGAGGAAAAGAAAAAAAATAAAATGGAAAACATACTTATTATTGTTTGCCTATTTGTCTTTAAAACTGGTTAAACCAAGTTAGAAATATTTTCCTTTAAGCTGTCTCTTAAATTAATGATTGATAGTAATTGATGGAAAATGTCGGATTGGCATGCTCGTGATTCGATTGAAGAAATTCAATTTTTTTTTTTTTATTTAGTCGAAATGGAAGTTTAGATTTGTACCTAGAGGTTCGAATTTCGCAGCCTCTAGCATTACCGCTCGACTATTTAACTCCGATCGGTCCAATTTATGGATTTGTATTCATTTTGCTTTGCTTCCTGTTAGTATTATTTTTTATGTGGGTTTTTCCATGTTTGATTTTGTGTATCCTAATTTAAGACTTGTGGAATAAAAGGATTAATTATATTAAATGGTGATAATTTTTTTTTTGATATCTTCTGTTTTTTATCTATAAAACCAAAAAGAATATTTTCCATGGGAATTTAAAGACCAGCTACAATCAGGACCGAACAAGGGGTTTAAAATAAAAAGAAAGCAATTCGCCCCACCGAGGGGCTCGAACCCTCGACCACAAGGTTAAGAGCCTTGCGCTCTACCAACTGAGCTAGACGGGCTGATGTAAACTAATCGCTTACATACAATAAAAATAATCTTATTTGTTGCACATTTTTATTTTTGATAATTATATTAATAGGCCAATTGGAGAAAGAGTCAATGCCTATGCTGATATTTTGGAATCTAATACTTATAAAAAAAAAAAAGGAGCTGCACACTTGAATCCCTTGGGCAGATAAAGAGCAAGAGGAAGAATATTATTAAGGGCAGGCACACTTGAAGAAAAGCAAGAGAAAGGCGTGTCCTTAAAATTTTCAAAAGTGATTCGGAATATATCTCATTCCACAACTTTTCATTATCAGGCCTATTGCTTTATTGAAAGAATACACACACAAACACTTTTATGGAGCACATAGTAGTGGTGTGTGTGTGTTATGGGGGGGTTGCTGACTCGAGAACCCATAATGTAGGATTGGAATATGCACTGCATGAATAAGAGCATTAAGCTACTGAAACATTTGTACTTTCAATGTGAAATTACAACACACAAGTTTATTCTCAATGTGAGACTAAGTTACTCATAATTAATTATGATGGAATGAAATTTAAATATCTAAACTACCTTCACTAAACAATTCTTCCATATCTTTCAGGAGCTCCACCCTCCGCCCCCCGCGTAGAAACACGGTATAAGGTGTTAATTAGACTCCTCAACTTATCAATACTAATCCTCGGAAAGAATAGTTACCTTTTATCGACATAGTCATCATGAATTGGTAGTTACACAATCGCGTAAGATCTTTAGACATATAATCAAAACCATAGAATTTCAGTAGGTATTATTAGTTATCCTAAGCTTAGTTTCTAATTGAAAAATTGCACAAGAAAAAAAAAATCAAGTAAAAGTAAAAATATTCTAAGAAGTTTTTCGACTATCTAAACTGTCCTATTACCTGTTTTTCAGGTTTTGTGCAATAATCTTGTTCCTCTTCAAGATGATTGAGGTGGGTTTTATGTTAATCGTCCCAACCGTTTCCCCATTGTGCAGTATCTATGTACTTTAACGAGGCACCACCATTCTCCAAAATTTTCTCGTTTTGTTTAGCGAGTGGTGATCTCATAGCATTTTCTTCATCCCAATCGTCGTCATCCCAATTTTGATCCCAACTTCCAATGGTGAATGGAGGACTGGACTCTTTCTGCCTCATTTCAAGTTCCTTATATGGAACTCCATTTAGATGCCGTTCCCTATTTCTCAACTTGCAGCAGGCCAACGTCCCTCCGATGAAAAGAGCGGTGACAAATAGTAGGTATGTCCCATTCATAGGTGTCAAATAGTTGGTGTAAAAGTATAAACCTTGTGGTACAGCAGTTCCTGTATGAATTATACAGTCTCCATTTCCGACATTTAGCATAATGGAAGAGCTTCCTCCGGTGGTTGATGGTAAATTTACCTGATAGAGTTGATGCAAGCAAAAGAGATCAAAAACAAAAACAATTAAAACCGGAGAGGCTTATCAAGTGTATCACTTTCATTCAATGGCATCTATGTCTAAACAAGTAATTTCATCACTAAAAGTCGTTGTATAAATATAACATGCTTTAGTGCGCGCCTTGTCTCAGACAAAAAGCGCATAGCGTAAGGCCTGCACTTGTGGGCTATAACAACTATGCCATAAAATATAAGTTAGATTTTATTGAGACATAAAAAAAAAATGAGGGACACGAAACATCATTTTAATTTCCACCAACACGTCAAATTATCGATATGTTTCTATTCATCAAAGGAAGTTTATAAAGGTAGGAATGTAATACGAAGAAGAAAAGCGGTAGCATACAATACCTTCTTGACTTGGTGTCTTGATATTGCTATGTGCTCCAAGGAAGTGTTTGCAGGAAGGAGAGTAATATTCAGTTGAAGAGAGTTGTCACCAGCATTCACGACAAGCACGTATGATGCTTGAGACCCTGCAAAGAACATAGATACTAAGAGCCCCCATTTTAGAAAATCAGAAAGGGTATCTAAATGCATGAAATTAAAAACTATACGTCTCCAATATGATGAGAGTAGATAATTAGATCCAGGGAAAAAATTGCTTTCTGATAACGGAACATTTCGTAAACTGAAAAGTTTCACTATAGGAAAGAAAGGGTACAAGAAGAAGAATGAAAAGAAGATTAAGCGAAAAAACTACTACCAAAGATGATTAATTGGTGAGCGTATTGATTAGATGGTGTTGTTTAGCTTTCTAGTCTTTGAAGAATGACTTCATTCACTAATACTTTTTCGTAGTATAAGCTATAAATCCATTTTGAACTTTTCATTTGTAGCAAGCAACTCTGTAACAATATTAAATAGGATATTTTTTCAACACATTCTCCATTTAATTCTATACAAAAATCCCATTAGATGTTAAACTTATTGGCTTAAATTTGTGGCCGATATCGATGTCTAGTAGGGCTGAAAATCAAACCAACCTATTCGATACTCGGCTCGAGCTCATTCAATAAAAGCTCGTTTGAGTTCAGTTCGTCAAACAAATCAAACAAGCTTGAACATGATTTCTCGTTTGATAAGTTTTGAAGCTCGGCTTGATAAGTTAAATATTGAAAAAATACAGGTAAATTACCAAGCTACTCGATACTCGACTCGAGCTGGTTCGATAAAAACTCATTTGAGCTCGGTTCGTTAAGAAATCAAACCAAGCTCAAACACAAAATTTCAAGCTCAATAAAATTCAAACCAAGTTTGAACAATGTGTCGTTTGATACTACTCATCTCGTTTACACCTCTAGTGTCTAGTCAAGTGCATGCATGCGTACAGATATGAAAAATGGAAACTAGCAGCCATATTTGATTGGAAAAGGTGAGGAACAGAACATAATAATTTTTGGTTACCAAATAATTGAAAGTTGAAACCCATACATTGAACCCATAAGGTTTTCTTTTAAAAAGAAGTTATCTTCTTGATCAAACAACATTATTATAATTCAACAGAAACAAAGCAAGTTGAATCTTCATTCAGAGCATAAAACAGAGCACTCTGTTTTCATTTAATTATTCCCATTAAGCAAAGCATTAAAACATGAACTCAATTTTATGCTAACCGGCGTCCGTAGAATTAATAAGAAGTTACTCAATTAATTTAAAACTAAAGAAAGATATGAACTTTTCCAAATATTTACTATTTGACATTTCACATATTTTCTCATTCAATAGCTTGAAATTTATAGGTATGCCAAATACATTCAAGATCAATAAATCTAACAGAACTTATAAAAATTTACAAACGCAACTTTTACATAATCATTTAATGTAGTCATCTAATTTACGACACTTTATTCTCATTAATCAAGAATCTACATTAGTCTACAATCAATAAGCTACTGGACTGCATAACTTTGTAGATGTACAGAACAGAAGAGTTACCGTTTCCGACAAAAGGGACACATGCAGTAAGGTTGTAATCCTTAATTTCACACTTACTAAACACCATTTCACATGTCTCCACCCCCTTTGGTGAATTCAAAGGACTTTGAGCATTTCCAGAATTCAAATTTCCAACTGGATCAACAGGGTTAGTTGATGGAGATATCTATAAACAAACAGTTCACATGCATTATTAAACAGATAATGAAACCAAACCACCTTAGATTAAACGAAAAAAAGAAAGAACTCGTGACATATACCTCAACAGTTGCATTGGAATTGTGACTATCATGTGCTAATTTTCGAAATCTTTCAAGAAAATACCCACTGGACTGATTTGGGACAACAAAAATCGAGAGAATCAGCAGGAGGGTTAACCTTAAACATTTCATTTTGTAGAAATTTTCTTGGATTTTTCAGAATTGGAATCTGTAGTAGTGAGATATATGATCAGGGTTTGAATTGGACTGGGCCATTCTGAAATGGGTCAGCAAAAGAAAGAAAAAGATTAAATTTGTTAACATTATTATAACTATTTTGTCTTCAAAGGAAAATACCAAGTAATTGAAGGGAAATTGCAGGATTTGAAGATTTGGAAGAAAAGACAATGTTGACGGATTAATTGAGGAATGAGTACGCGTCAATGGATGAATTTATTGAATATTTCCTCAATTCTAAAGATGGTATTAAATTTATTTTTTTTAATAAATTTCAGAGACCTTTTTTTTTTAAGAAAACTAGGAAAGTACACATGATTAACTAATATCCAATGTTAGTTCAATCATATAATAATTTTTCATCATTTTATGGTCTTAATGACACACCACATAATTTTTTTCACTATATTATTACTACATTGTTATCAAGAATTTAAAGTTGTTATCATGAATACCTAAAACCAAAATTTGAAAATAAAAAATGAACTATAATTATTAAGTATTTATAACCTAAAACTACATGTCTACATAACTATAATTCTAAAACTAACATTTGAACGAATGGACAATATTAAAAATTTTCTTTCTTGTCTTGACCTTAATATTTCCATCTAAACATTTTTTTCCATCTAAACAAGTTTTTACATGTTTAATCCATTTTTTTTAATCGATTTCACCAGGTTTGTTGGTTATACCTATTTTTTTTTACTGAGTTAACCATTTTTAATTATTTGCCTAATACATTTATTTTACCCATTTTCCATTTTCACATTTTTTTTTTCCATTTTTATCATCAAATTTTTTGTCAAATTTTACCCGTTTTCACCAGTTTTAACCATTTATATGTTTTGACTTAAGTCAATTATAAGTTTTTCAGCTAACTAAATAGTACTTTATTTTATTCATAAAACACAAATGTGGCAACTTTTTTTAGGTTCTTTGATGGTTTATAGGTTATTTGATAATTGATAATTTCTTAAGAATTGTACAAAGAAGTATCATTTTTTTTGTTATTTTAACCTGTTCTTTGATCGATTTCACCCGTTTTTGTGTTTAATCTCATTTGTTAATCAATTCACCTATTCTCTCCGGTTTAACCAAATTTTAGTTGATTTTACCTATTCTTTTGCTAATTTAACTTATGTTCTCACATATTTTACCTTCGGTTTTTTTTTTTTATCAATTTAACTCA